ATTATATATTTGTTTTTTTTAAATCCAATTATGAAAGAGTTTTGTTTTTAATCTTCTTTAGCTTTATTAGTGAATGATAATTAAAGAAAAAAGGGAACTTACCCATTTAAAAACAAGTAACACCTAGATGAGAAATTCGAAATTTCATTTATTCAAATATTGTTATTCTTTGATCTTTCTAACAAAAGTAATAGCAAATACATTCACGTTGTGAACCCTGACCACCACATTTAGCACTTTGGAATTTGCCTTTTGAAACTTCATTTGGACAAATAGCATAGCAATATGTTGGATCAATTACTTCACATCCTTGTCCTACAGGGATCTCTTTTTGACAAATGGAATCACCATGGATTGGGGTAATAGTATCACCTACAAAAATCAACAAATTCAACATTATATGTTATGAATCCAGAAATCAAGTTTTTTTAATTTAAAATCATAACGTAATCTTTTAGTATACCTTAATTTAGTATAGTTATCCATGTATAACCCGTACAAAATTTATACAATTTTATGTTATATCATAATCTTTGATCTAATTAAAAAAAATGTCTCAATTTCTTGTATGGATACAATTTTTTAAATTCATCATTTATAAATTTCACCATTTGCTCGATCACAGGTTTCACCCTTTAGGAACAAAGAACAACCATATTATTAATAGCTGAAGTATAAAACCTGCCTTACTAAATAACATTATGAAGATAGTATAAAATAGAGGAAGTGATAAAAATTATACATACCAGAAGTAGCAACTGCAAAGACAATCAAAACTATGAACATGAAAAGGAACTTTGTCTCCATTGTTATTATATAATTTACTGGGCGTGCAACTTTTACAGTAAATAATATGTCTACGTCTTGAGCGCTCTCCTATTTATAGTGAAATGTTCATGAAATTAATATACACCACTAATACATGTATAGTAAGTTAATTAATTTTATTCCAAAGTAATATTAATATATATGGGCATTCACAAAACAAAATATATGGGCATTCCCGAAAAAGAAAAATATATACCACATATCAAAATTTAGTCAATGACATTTAAAAGTATTATCTTTTTAAGCATTGATTGAATAACGATATAGTTTAGGTGAAACACCATTCAATTCCTATCTAATAGCAGTGACTTGATTATAGTCATATGTAAACCTAATTTAATATATAAACTAGATAAGTGTAAACTAACAGTTAGTATTTTCAAAAAATGATACAAGTTATTTGCAAATTTAATACCCATACATAAAAAGTGAATTCCTTATGCATCGACCATTTCTTTGAAACATATTGATATTTTTTACTGTTTCATCGATTATATGGTCATATTTTTAAAAAGTTGTACTCACATTTGAATTTGAATCATCCATATGATTATGATAGAGTATATGGGCATGGACCCCATGACACACATAATCTAAGGTTAAAAATGTCAGCAAAACAAGAATTCAAATGACTATTCACCTAAGAACCATGAGACTTCTGAGAATAGCAATATAGTTCTATTAAATTTAATTCTGAGAAGTCTATGGATATATATTAGGTATTGTGAGAAGTCAAATGACTATTCACCTAAGGACCCTGACCATGAGCCTTCTCCTGCCAGGGAGCGTATGTGGGTCTTCAAATAGCGTATGTGAATTCTCATAAGGACTTCACAAGAATTCAAATGACTATTCACTAGCGTCCGTCATGGACTCTAAGGACATACCACCTTGACGGAAGGACTGGAGTTTTGTCAAAAGACTGAGAGACCGAGCACGAGTTTGAGATGTCCGGGAGCGCTCAATGGCCTGCCAAATACCACAAGTCGTAGATTGACCCACAACAAGTGAGATAATTAATTAAAAATAACACCATATGGTATAAATATTTCATAAAACGATAGCAAGGAATAACAGTTCAATAACAAAAGTGCTCAAAAACAGGAAAGGTTCCATCATAAATAAAATTTTCATGAAAAATAAATCAAAGAAAGCTTTCTAAATCAAGCATAGTCTTTTTCGATGTTATAGTTTATCAACTCTTGACGCTCTTGAGGTGACATTTTGAGAAAAGTTTCTTTCATTCCAAACTTATGTATGAGCGTAGGGGCTTTGTAGCGTGTGCGTGCGCTTATCTAAATCTGAAGTCTCTTTTATAGCATTCCATATGTTGTTATTGTTCTCTTATTCTCTTTTCTCACTTTCATATTTATCCCTATATTTCTCCCTCTTTTCCATCAATATCCTCATTCCTCGAATGTCACTAGCAATCTCAGCAATAGAATCCATTCCACTACTTTAATTTTTGGCTTAAATCTCCCTTCACATTGATCTCTGGTTCGCTTTTTAAAACCACTACTACTTCTTAAGGGAATTGCACTCCTATTTTCACATGTAGGAGGCACAGTTAAATCGTCTATTAGATCTTGTTGGGTTGAGACATACGCGCCTTGAGACTCAGCACAAACATAGTCTTCTATTGAAGCTTAGGGATCTGGGAACAACATATCACCCCCCATAATGGGAATTAGGGATGTCATATGTGAAAACGTCACTATCAAAATCTTTTCATTTGTACAGGGACTTAAGCACAACTTGCTTACCATCGACAATTCTATGAAAGTGGAATGGAAGTCAGATTCCATGCTAAGCAGTGTTGTGTGATAAATATGGATGGACAACCATTGGTAAAGTGTCAGAGAAAAACAAATCTCCACAATGTTGATATGAAATCTGTACGATCTAGCATATCCATATGTCTCCTGTCAAAAGCTTCTGAAGAACAAAACAATCTATGGTACGGACGTCTCTCACACTTGAACCTACCCGCAATCAGCTCCCTTTCATCCAAGAAGCTTGTTAAAGGACTTCCTGTTTTGAAGAACTCGTCCAAGCATCACTGTTCTGTTTGTCATTTGGGAAAGATGAGGAGATCTTCACACAAATCAAAGTAATTTCCCTCCTCATCTTGTCTCCTAAAGCTACTTCATATGATTTGTGTGGTCCGATGTTTTTGCATAGCATAAATGGATGCAAATATACTTTGGTTATTGTGGATGACTACTCACGCTACACATGGACAAGGTTTTTGCGATCCACGGATGGAACATCCAACATTATCATGACATTCATCAGGACCATACAAAACTACCTACAACAGAACGTGAAGATCATGAGGACAAGCAATGGGGCTGGGTTAAAAAATAAGGAACTGACTGAATTCTAAGAAGCTCAGGGAATTACACAGTAGTTCTCTGCAGCTAAAACACCCCAGCAGAATGATGTTGAAGAAGACGACCGAGTATACTCGGCATAATCTTTACTCTGTATTTTGTTAGTCAGGCTATTTTAGAACTGCGCTGAGTATTTAATTGGTATTGGGCTGACAATTTTTAAAATAAAGTTATGGGCCGCCTGAATTAACAAAGAAAATGTGGCGAATAGCTTATTTGGGTAATTTCGAGCTGCCTAATTTATTTAATTTAAAAGTGATTGAAATGTAAAACTATAAATGGGCCAAACTAAATGATTAAAACACATTAACTTGAGAATTGAGATCACTGATATAAGGTGACCGATAACGAGACACTTGGATTAATTGACATTTTTGGATTACTTGGAAAAATTAATGTGGCTAGTTACGATGTAAATACCCATATTTTTTTAGTAAACAAGAATTTTCAACTCATACATTTTATAAGTAAGTGAATGAAATAATTATATAAACATGACCAAAATAAAGATGATTTACAAAAATATGACTATTGATTAAAATAGTAATGAAATCATAGTAATTCGTGTTCAACTTTTGAGCTTAAGTTACCACAACACCACATTGTATGTAGTAATGAGTAGTCATATTTATGTAAATATGTTTTATTTTAGTAATATTCTTGTAAAAACCAGTGAAGGAAGTAAAATTAAAAATAGTAATAAAGCCGGTTAAAAGATGAGGTGGTGAAATTAATAAAAGTGATTAATTAGTTATGGAACTATATCCATAATTTTTTCTAAATGTAAATTAAAAGCTACTCTATCATTATGTAAGAGTACATATTACATGATAGTTTTTAACTTTATGTGTTTTTAACATATTAGATGTACATATTGAAATTGTTAGTAATATACAGGAGTAATATCTAATACTCCGTATGTATTCTTACCCCTTTCTATCCTTTATTTAAATTGTTAGTTTTTCATTGAAATTAAAATGTATATATAAAAAACACATATAGTTCAAAACTAACATGTAAACTAACAATTTCATTGTACTTTCAATGAAAAACTAACAATTTCAATAATTAATAAAAATACATAAATTTAAAAACTAAAAATTTAATTATGTTCTCAATTTGATTTTTAATCTGTATTTATATTTTTTGAAGTATCAAATAACATATGCCTTCACGTTATTTCTTTTCCAAATTAGGATGTTTTCTTTTAGACGGAGAGTTGCTGGTCTGGTCTGGAGTCTGCTTTGGTCTAATCTGAACTAGTGTGGTCCGGTTTGGTAATTGACTAGTTTCTGCGTATTTTATAACTACGGAAGTCTGATCTGATCTGTTTAGGAGCCCGTTTGGTAACACTGAAATCGTCTGAATCAGTTGCTTCTGCTAATATTTATGAAGTTCTGGCTAATGTGGCTGTATTGGCTGATTCAGCTAATTTATGAAAAAATTACATATAAAATATATTTTATTAATAAAATAAAGAAAAAATTATATTAAAAAGAGAAATTACTCTAAATAGGACTAAAAGCACTTCTATATTCCAAAAATAGGACTGCCATGTTTTTTATTCCCAAAATAAGACTAATTACTGTCATGTTTTGGCAGTACAAAACTTTAAAGATGACAGTATTTTCCAAACTTGACAGTAATTACTCCTATTTTGGGAATAAAAACATGACAGTCCTATTTTGGAATTTTCAAACTTATTTAGTCCTATTTCGGGAACTTTCCCTATTAAAAAATAGCTAAAATGGTATTATACCGTAACTTCAGCCAGAAAAGTAACTTCAACCTTACATTTTCTTATTATTATATAATTCAGCGCGTGAAATAAAAAATTACGTGTTTGGTGAAAAAGTTGGCTAAGAAGCCTCATAAGCCGGAAAACATGCTCACCAAACATGATCTAGGTCTAGTGTGTCTTGTCTAGTTTGTTTAAGTCTGGTCTGATCATGCTTGATATGAACTTGTCTGAGATGGAAAACTATTCAAAAGAAAGCATCCTCAAGCCCCATACTTAGTGAGGCCCAATTCTAAAGACCCAAGTAGTTACTCGGCCCAGGCGCCCAGCATATTTTGAGCATTTGCTGTATCATAATCCAACATTATTTCACTGTGTTATTATCCCTGCACTCGCCCATTTTGCTTTGAATCATTTATGGAACTCCCAAGTATGCCTCCAATCCTATCTGTGTCTTTATAGGGACTCTAAATGAGAAACAATGCCCATCAAGTTTTGCTAGCCAGAAACAAGTATGGAACTGCAGGCACCACAGTTAATACCGAGTACATAAATAAAAGTATGAAAAGTAATCTATGCTCTCATCCTTGTATACTCAACTACTCAAGCAGCAACTAGTCCATTCTTATAGTTACTTCTCTTAAGTTTTGACAGTTAGACCATTTTACATTTTATTACAAGCATAACAATATTTATGCCTGGAATCCATCTTAGAAACAGACCTGGTAGGAGAAGTAGTTCTACTAGTTCTTTGCTTCATATTTTAGCATACATGGAACAAACTCTTGAACATTATACCCAGAAAAAAGGGAATAAAGATTAAGAAGCTATCTACTACCTTAACTTGAATAGCTCGCTTGATATTCCATAAACCTATCCAATCTTAATTTAAGATGTTTCTTTATACGTAAGATGAATTAAAAACACTACAAATTAAATAACCTTTTAAATGGATTAACATGATAGATTCACCTCTGACTATGGATGTACGGACGATGGCAAATAAACTCTTTTACCCCCTACTATTCTAGTAAGGGGAATGAGGTGAAGCAGATGATGAGGAAGCGAAAATAGTACCAATCTGTGAGGAAGTTAACTCACAATGCTCTTGAATCCCAACTCCCCCTTCACTTCTGTCATTGTTATTATTCTCATTATGTTGATGATCTGGCTCCATCATAACCTCGGGCAATGGGGCTTCTCCGTCGAGGTAACTCAACACCTGCCTTATGCTCGGTCGGGCCGTCGGGTCATTGCTTGAGCAAATGAGCCCCAATTTCAACACCATCACCACTTGATCCTCCTTAAACCTTCCCTTCATCCTCCAATCCACCACATCCATAATCCTCTCTTCTCTCAACTTCTCCCATACCCAATCTACCAAAACCAACTCCCTTATTTGAGCAGCCTTCAGCTCTATTGGCCTCCTTCCACAAACCACCTCCAACAACAACGCCCCGAATGCAAACACGTCTGATTTTGTCGTTGCTATTCCTGTCCTCGAAAGCTCTGGTGCCAAGTAACCCAATGTCCCCACAACACGTGTCATCCCCGGATTGCTCCCGTGCTCGTGTAACCTAGCGAGCCCAAAATCTCCTAAATGTCCATTCATCTCCCCGTCCAACAACACATTACTAGCCTTGATGTCGCGGTGTATCACAACTTGTTCATATTCCTCGTGTAAGTATAACAGCCCAAAGGCGACGCCTTTGATGATGTTGAACCTTTGTTCCCATGTCAACACCAACTTGGGACGGTCAAATAGGAAACCATCCAAGCTTCCGTTTGGCATGTAATCATAGACGAGCATTAGATCACAACGGGTTCTGCACCATCCTAGTAACTGTACCAAATTTCTATGTCTTAGCCTTCCTATTGTTGAGATTTCAGACACAAATTCCCGTAGCCCCTGTCGGGATTCATTCGAGATTCTTTTCACTGCGATTTCAGTTTTTGAAATCCGCAAAATCCCCTTGTAGACCTGTTAAACATAATAACCTCATAGTTTCTACTCCATATCATATATATATAGGGGTAACTTACATACCACTATTTAGAAATTTTCTTAATAAAAGCTACTTTTATGTTTTGAAATTGAAAAATGATCATTTGAATATAAATACCTATTTAGTATATGAAGAAATACTCATTTTACTATTTAGATATAACATGTGCATGATGCATCTGCATTCTCTAACACTATGTTTGGAACCTTGGATCACCCGAAAATGCTAGTGATAGTAAAATGCTCAACGAGTTACTTGCTTATGCTTAAATTTCCTTTAGGCCCTGTTTGGTTGGAGGGTTTCGGAGGGGAGGGGAGGGAAGTGAGCAATTTGTGTGTGTTTGGTTGAAGGAAATAGGGGGGAAGGGGAGATAAGTGGAAGGCTTCCAAAATCCTCCACTTCCTCCTATTCTAAACCACCCAAATCGGGGTATTTTGGAGGAAACATGTTAATAATGAATAATCACAAATTATCCATCTGCTTAGGGATGTCAAAAAAAACCGACCCGCAGTGACCCGCCCTGGCCCGAGACATTTGGGGCGCGCCCGGGCCGCCCCGTCTTCCAAATGGGGCGGGTCCGCCCCGCCCCGCCTATACAATGGGGCAGGTCCGGGTATTAATATTGACCCGTGCCGTCCCAACCCGCCCCGACCTGACCCACTCAATACATAAGCATACATATTTTTTCTTAAATTATACTATAAATATACTTCAACATACATGTGTGTATACAGTAAATCATAAATTATTTGATCTTATAATATATTAATACATATATTAGAATGAGATGAACGACGGACTATCAATGTCTTCTTTATATATAGCATTTTAATACATATGTTCGATTATTAGTATAATTAAATAAATTAAATATTCAAGTCTGGGTAATTTTTCCTTAATTTTTGAAATTTTTAGGGTATCATGAATTCGATTTAATATATTAATTTTTAATTATTATTTAGAGATAAATTTTATGTAGATTCAATTGGTAACAACTTCCCACAAATAAAAATACATACTAGCTAATTAGGTTACGGCGGGGCAGACCCGCTCCGCATGGGGCGGAGCGGACCCGCTCCGCATGGGGCGGAGCGGACCCGCCCCGCATGGGGCGGGTCATGGGTCAACAAGTTTGGACCCGTGCAGGTAACGGGGCGGGGCGGACCCGCCCCGCCAAGTCACGGGGAGGGTCTGGGTCTTGCAGTACCCGCCCCGACCCATTGCCATGCCTACATCTGCTACGTGAATAAACAAAACGTTATAATATACAAAGGTAAAAAATAAAATTAAAATAAAAAATTAAAAAGTTTAAAAAATAAAAAAGTCAAAATAAAAAAATTAAAAATTCAAAAATTATAAATTCAAAATGAAAAATTCTAAAATAAAAATTAAAAAATAAAAATTCAAAAATAAAAATTATAAAATTAAAAAAGTAAAAAAAATATTATGCCTCATGAGCTTAGGAGTAATATTTACAATAGTTAGAAATGTACTACGTATCTATTTTTTTTAAATAAACTACCAAATAAAGGTAAATTGGAAAAATATTTTCATTAAACCTTTCCTCCTATTTTCTCCAACCAAACACAATTTTTTATCAAAATCCTTCCTTCCCCTTCCCCCTTCCCTCCCCTCTTTTGAACCAAACAAGGCCTTGGAAAATGAATAGTAAAATGAAATACCATTAATGTTATGAAAAGTTTTAAATTTGTTTAGATTGGTCAATGACTCAATGGCACTACAATCATCGTTATAGTTACGAGATTAGTCAATTATGGACATTTATGGTCAAAGATTATAATGGTCACATTATTGTCTACGGCCATTATCTTAGAACTATATATTTCATTGTTTTTATACTAGCTTCGGAGAATATTGCAATGCATACAAATACAAAAATATAAGTGATTTTGAAAATAACTTAACAATAAATATATTGGTGTTTTCTTTTCATTAATATCTCATGATTGGGAGCAATTTTTTTTTAAAAAAAAAATATTACTGATGATAAACTTATTTACCAAAATATGACTAAAATCATCCGGATAAATGCACAAATGGTACATTAACCTTTGATATTGTTGCATGTTGGTATCATATCTCTTAAATTAAACAAATCAGTATCATAATTATACATAAATATTTCAAACATCAATATTATTCAAATTTATGACCAAAGAATCCTACGTGACCACCGGAATTTCATAGGTATAGGGTCTGTTTGTTTTCTAGCAGATTACTACTGACCCGCTGCAATTTGGAGCGTTTTCCTATTGTAATATATCAACGGTTTGAGCTAATCCGCTATGCTCCAAACGGGGGCATAGTCTACCGTACATTGGTAGTATGGATAAAATTAATGTACGTAGTATAATGGATTATACGAATAATTTTGGTGGCCACATGTAATTTTTTCTTGTAAATTTGAATAGTGATGCTAATTGGAACACTAAGCATAGTAATGATAGTGATTTGTTTCAATCAAAGTTAAAGTAACAAAATGTAACAACATCAATAGTTAAGGTACTATGTACTATTTATGTGTTTGACCCAAAGTTATCATGAGTATAGTTTTTTTTTTTAAGTTATCATAATTCATAAATGTAGTGTGATTGTTATCTTGAGAGTTCTTATTTTTAGTTTAGGAACAAATATGTAATTATTGTTTTTGTTCATCAATAATAGACTTTTTAGAAAAAGGTCAAAGAGCAAGGTGGAATCATACCTGACCGAATCCGCCCTGTCCGAGTAACTCGCTGCTCTTGAAACCGCCGGTGGCTTTCTTCAGTTCACTGTACGAATATCTGTGCGGACCAATCTCAAGCTCCCACGACTCCACCACGTCAGCATTCCTGACTCTCTTGAACACATAAACTCCCACCAGAACGGAAAGCAAAGCCAAACCCGCCGCCGCCGCAGAGGCCGACGCCACCAGAGCCACGTGCCTTTTCTTGACTCCGGGGATCGATGGGAGGGAGTGAAGATTTATGCTTTTCGCTTCGCCGTTGATTTTGAAGCTCCACCCTAATATGTAGTGAGCTCCGGCGAGCACTCCGGTGGAGGCAGAGAAGCCGACGTACATATTCTCTTTCAGAACACCAGATAGATCTACGCGATGTGACAGAAGGGGAACTCTGGGTTTCAGAGAAGAAGGGGAAATGGTGACGTTAATGAGGTTTGAAGCAGAATCGTACTCCACCCAAGCAAGAATCGCCTTTCCACTCCTGAGATTCAGATCTCGTTTCTTGAGATCGCCGGTGAAATACCCAGCTCCGGCGGACTCCCTGGAAACCAAGCTGTTAACGTTAATCCCGACATGGTTACCATCAATGTCCTCGAACTCGAAATCCTGGACGGTGTCGAACTCAACAGAAAAAAGATGGTTCGACGAATTCCCAATGTTGTGGGAGTTGAGCAGGCCGAGATACTGGCTGGGAAGGGCCGTGCTGAAATCCAGAGACTGGGAAATGGCGAAGGCGAGGCCATGGCCGCCGAGCTTCTCATATTCAGGGATTACAGCCATGGCGAAACAGGTGGAGAAGGAGAAAGCCGAGCCATTTGGGGAATTTTTGAATTTGAAGGGAGCGGAATAGAAAGCGTGACCCATTGTCCGGTGGGACTGATTCGTCAGCTGAAGAACTCCATCTCCGGCGACCGTCGCCACCCCACTAAAGCTGATGTTGTTCTCTGGCTGATTGAATCTGGTGTAGAAGAACCCATCTAGCGGAGCAGAAGACGCGATTGAAAGGGTAAAAACAAAAGCACATATCAGTGCTTCTATAAATCTTACCATCCCAATTCCCAGATCAATTCCTCAAACCAGGCTAAAGAATGAACAGAGAGTTTCGAGGTTTGATTGGTGAGGGGGTCAAAGGGTCAAATGCTTCTGGATGGTTTCTTAGACGAGAGAAGAATTGAAAAAGAAGCTATGGCGATGGATAGGTCAGTCTATATGGCCGAACGGTTTGTTTGTTACCAGTCAGAAGAGATCCACATGGGACAAAGAAAGGCACCCACAAGAAAAATAAAGCATCTTTCGTGAAAGATTGCTCCAATGACGCAGTGGAATGCAAAATGAAATTTGCTATAGGTACCCCATAGTTACCCCATTCCCTACCCCATATAAATACTCTCCTTTTTTACCATCCCTTTTATCCCTTTCCAAAACTCTCACCCCCTCCCCCACTTTTCTTCTCCTTCCCTCCCTCTCTCCTCCATCTTTTCTTTTCACGCAGCCCCCCATCCCCTCCCCTTTCTTTCTCTTTTCTCCAAATTTTGATTTCTTCTCCATTTCAAATCTCTACCCATCAAGTCTTCTCATTTTTACAATCTTTTCTCCCTCCAAGCTTCTTCTCCTGCTTCTCTCCTCTTCTGCCTTTTTTTTCGTTTCAAATGGAAGAGCTACAGTAATCAGACGAAGGGGAGAGCTCGGTGACGTGGGGAGACAACGACGAAAGTGCAGATCAAGAAGCTTCAAATGACTTGAGCAGATCTACTTTTCTTGATTTTTTTCATTTTTTGGTGTGTTTTCGAAAAAAAGGGTTGTCTTCCCTGACAGACAACTTGTAAGTGCAGTGTCTGTATTTGTTAGTCTAGGAGAAGAGTCTGTTGTTTTTCGTCATTTGTTTGTATTTTGTTTGGCGGACAGACAATTTGGAACTTCAGTGTCTGTCTAGCATAAAGTGAACGTGGTTTCATAGTTGCTTGAAGTGAACGTGGTTTTATAGTTGTTAGAGTCGTACATAAAATGTGTGTGTGGTCAGACAACTTTAAGCGTATGTGATTTTGTTTGGAAACATGGTTGTATTGGTAATGTAGTTTTTATATAAATGTGTGTGCCTTTTTTTGAAACATGGTTGTATCGGTAATGTGAAGACAAATGTGGTGAATGAATTACATATGTAGTCTCTACAAGGAAAAGAGTAGGGTTTCCTATTAGAATAAGGACTACTCTCTGTCTTACAGCCAGACAAATTTTGTCTTGGTCAGACATTAGTAGTCTGGGACAATTAAATACTCTCTGTCCTACAGCCAGACAAAGTTTTTCTTGGCCAGACATTAGTAGTCTGGGCCACATTCTCCCGACTTGTAGACAGACAACTCAGAAGGAAGGCCAGACATTTTATATCTCATTACAGACAATTTGTTGCAATACATTGGTAGAGAAGTCAATTCCAATGACAGAAAACTACAACCCAATTTGAATGAATTCCAAACGACGTGCAAGACAATTCAAATGGGTTGCCTGAGAACTAATTTTACCTGACAGACAACTACAAAACTATTTTCTACAATTTAAAATAAACTGACAGACAATTCAAATGTCTTGCCAGACAACTACTTTCATATGACAGACAACTACAAACCAATTTTAAACAATTGGATTTAACGTACCAGACAACTAATATGCCTTGCCAGACAACTACTTTCACATGACAGACAACTATAAACCAATTTTAAACAATTCAAAATAAATTGATAAACAACTCCAAACCAATTACATAATATTCAAAATACCATGACAGACATCTCAATATCATCACAGAGTAGTCTAAATATACACAAGTACTTCATAATTTCACGAGACAAACAACTATTTTTACATTACAGACAAATCAAATGGAATGCCAGACAACTCTTTTCACTAGAATTTGAAGCTAACAGATCTGAACCATCACAGGTATGTTTCGAAGTTATGGTCGCTGGAATTTGAAGGTTTTGAACTGAAATTACAGGTTGGTGGAGAAGGTGTGGAAGGTTTTTAAATCTGGCCGGCACTGAAATTACTGGGACAGCGGTCAGGTGTCGTCGGAGAAGATGACCGGCTTGCCGGGCATCAGTTCCGCCTGCCGTTACGTAGTCCGGCTACTGTTAGATCTCCGCTCCTGCTACCTTGCCATTGCCGTTGGGGGTCGCCGGGGCCTGACGCCTGACGGGGGTTTGGGTGGTGTCCGGCTGGGTTTTCTGACTTCCCACCGGAGCTGCTTGGGTGTTCGCCGGAACCAAGCAAGGGGGCTTAATTGAGGGAAATGAAAGGGAGATGAAAGGGAGAGGGGCTGGCTGGAAAAGAGGGAGATGAAAGGGAGATAAGGGGGAAGGAAGATGAGGGAGTGGGGGTAAATTTTTGGGAGGATATTTATATGGGGTAGGAAATGGGGTAAGTATGGGGTACCTATAGCAAATTTCATGCAAAATTATGCGGATTTTATGCGGCTGTAACTTGGGATCCGAAGGTAGTCTGGGCGTAGTTTTGCATTTCCGTTGAGGCCGCCATGTGTTTGTGCCTATTGCTGCCATTATATTACCTCCCTCCCTTTCACTTAGCCATCATTGACTTTTTTTAGTCATTGTTGTTAAGTTTGATTAATCATTGTTTTGGAAGAAAGAAGATTTAAATTATAGGCTAAAGGGTCAAATAAGCCCTTGAACTGACTTAAAGTGTTCAATTAGCTCCTTATATAGGAGGTTCTGCTCGGTCGTCGCTAATTGGGGCGGTTCCCGGTAGAGTTTTTTACTCGTACCAAATTTCAGCTAAAAATTCTACCGGGAAGGCAGTGAAATGATTTTCCGAAATGTACTGTGCTGTTTAACTTCACAGTTATCTTCAAAAAATCATTTGATTGCCTTCCCGGTTGAATTTTTAGCTGAAATTTGGTATGGGTAAACTAGACTTAATGAAGAAGATTCTCAAATAATTTCATCAAAAAATTCCACTGGGAACTGCCCCAATTGGCGACGGTCGGGCAGAACCTTCTATATAAGGGGCGAATTGCACACTTTAAGTCAGTTCAAGGGCCTATTTGACCCTTTAGCCTAAATTATATAAACTCACATAGACACCACAAGATCACTCCCATTTCTAATTTTGATCACCTGCTGTAGGATTATAGAAGGGAAAACTGTTAAATAGATCTTCGAACTTTCATAAAAAAGTTAAATAAATCCTTATATAGGAGGTTATGTCCAGCCGTCGCGATTTGGGGCGGTTCCCGGTGGAATTTTTTTATGGAAAGTTTGTAGCATCTTATTCATTTAGTCTAGTTTACTCATATCATGTTTCAGCTAAAACTTCAATCGGGAACTCATTCAAATTAATTCTTGAAGATAACTGTGCAGTTAAATGCGCACTTATTTTCAAGAATTAATTTGAATGCGTTCCCGATTGAATTTTTAGCTGAAATTTGGTATGAGTAAACTAGACTTGATGAATGAAATGTTAAAAAGTTTAATAAAAAATTCCACTGAGAACCGTCCCAAATCGCGACGGCCAGACAGAGCCTCCTATATAAGAATTTATTTGACCATTATAGAATTATAATGGTATATGCTAAAAGCACAATTCACTATCCATTCAACATGTGGCATGCCTATTATGACCAAAAGTAAAGAATTGTCGTGCAGAACCCTCACTAGCCGAGTGCTCAACACCATAGTACTAACAAAAAACATCCTAATATCTCACCTAAAAAGGCCTAAACCAACGAAAATAAAATAAAATTAAAACTAGCAGTCTCAAAGTAAAACTCAAAACGAAAAAAAACACAATCACGAACTAGAATTATTCAGACTCAGCTTTTCGGGTGAGATTATTGTTCAGAACTCGCCCCAACCCCATTCTTTCATCCACTTGTTTCAACCTCCATCATTGAATTTGCTGCTTTATCTTCATTGCTTTCACTGCTTTGCCTTCGTCCACCTCCAAATCAAATCGCCCATAGTGATCAATTGACTTATATTGCGCCTTCATCCCACCTACCGTCATGAAAATAGAAAACACGAGGAACACAAAACCAAAGAGCCTACAGTGTTTCGCTGATATCTCCAGCAACCAAAACCATCCGAAGCAGACAAGCCAAAGCAGACCCACAAAACTTGAATAAACTAAAAGGATATAAAATAAAAAGGATATAAAATAAAATAAAAAATGACTGCCGGATGAAAAGGTACATCCACGAACCACATCTGCATCTTCATCTTCCGGAACAACAAAAGAACGAGAGTAGCAAAAACAAAATAAACAAAGAAGCCTAAACCAGAGTCGAAAATCTAACCAATTATCCTTCCGCAAATGATCTGATAAGTTCGTGTTCGGATCGACTTTTGATGGTTGTCTTAAAGTTTAAGGTGTTATTAATCTCAATTTTAGCTCGAGTGATGTTTACCAGGCGTTGGTTCGAGTTTTGTGTCATTTGAAGTCAAATCAGAGAATTTGAGCCCAACACCGGCGCTTGAGAAGCAATCGGGACGAGTTGAGATGTATTTGAGATTGATTTGATAGCTTTGGAGATCGCCGGGAGGTTTGCGATGAAGATTTGATGACAAAAGAGCTCTAGGACTGACTATGGGATCAAAAGAAGATGAATGAAGCTTGAAAACGATGATCAGGATGACCTTCTGTCAATCGTTCAAGCATATCTCTTTGTAGAAACATTCAAAGGACACGATTCAAGTTCCAGATGAAATATAACTTCAAGGGCTACAAATAATATGATGACACCATTGCGAGAATCTGAGAGAAAGAAGGTGAAAACATACGATGAAGTCAGATGATCCCTGTTGCGGTTTCGGAATGCAACCTTCCACCATTTTATTCATATCTTTTGATTGTATGATTCAAATCTAGTTATGCAAGTTGTGGTGGATAGATGACTTCAATATCTACAACTTTCATGAAGGAAGGGAAGACACGGACGTGCCCAAGGAGGCACGCCGCGCCGGTAGTGTTACGATGTACCGGGTTGCTGGAATGTCCAGGCACGACGTGCCTGGACCTTAGACACGCCGTGCCTGAACCCAAAACGCGAATTTCATCCTTGATCCGCAGGCACGGTCGTGTCTGGCCCTTAGGCACGACGTGCCTGACCCCGTTTTAGTCCCAGTTCAACTCAAACTCATTTGTTTTCTATAAATAAGGTCCCATTCTCCTGTTTAAGGGTTACGAACTTACGAACATTACGGAGAGGCCTAGGTACTTGCATTTTTATCATTGTTTACTCCAAGACCCTGGGATTCTTTGTAAGTTCTATCTTTTTAATTAATGACAGTTAATTCTATTCTTCCCAATTCTATTGAATCTTCAATTATGAGTTGTGAGTAGTTTAATTAGGGATTTGGGGTTGATGAAGGGGTTAATCATGATGTATGGCTAGATTCTTGATGGTTTATTTGCATGAATGCCGTTTAATTTGTGTCTGAATAATTTAACTTCTATCTTTTGTAACCTAGAATCGCGACTAGAATTACAATTGCTTGTAGAATAAGTTAAGAGAGATCTAATTTGTTCTAGGACACATTCACACACACTTAATCGCTCGCTAAGAGATTAATAGCAATTAAGGGGCCATAAGCTCGCTCGTCTTGGCAATAATTTAGGATCATGTCGCATAAGAGATCAGTCTGGTCTCATAAATAATTATACTCTACGCCGCGAGAGTGGTAAGAACTTAGTAATGATTAGCTAGGCTCAATTAAATTAAATTCATGTAATTAGACCTGATCTGCCAAAAATCTGGTCACCTCGGAATCAATCCATGTTCCCTTCGTCGTTAATTAGAGAGAATCCAAACTTTTTTTTATTCGTTCATCAGCATTTTAATTTTCTAAACCAATCAATCGCGAACAATCACATTTAATTTTATTTTATTTCTTTTTAATTGCTGAATTTAGTTAATCTTTAATTCCCTTTTGTCCGTCTCTGTGGAGAGGATACTCGTAATTACACCACTATATTATGATCTACTCCCTCCGTCCCTAAATAAACTTCCATTTTTCCTTTTTCGTCCGTCCCAATTAAAACTTCCACTTTTCTTTTTTGGCCAGAATTTGTGGTTCACGGCAATTCTTACACATTTCTCTCTCCTCTGCACAACTCTCCACCACACAATACCCACTATCTTAAACTCTGTGCCAATCCTATTTGGAAGATATAATAGGGACAGAGGGAGTATTTCAAGTGGGAGAAAACGAGATAAGGGTCAGTTTGGTCCTTGAAGTTGCAAAAAAGGAGTCAAATAAGTCCTTATATAAAAGATTCTGTCTGGAAGTGTCATTTGAGGTGGCTCCCGGTGGAATTTTTTGATGAAATTTTTTGAGCATCTTATTCATTAAGTCTAGTTTACTCATATCAAATTTCAGATAAAAATTCAATCAGGAAGACATTGAAAGGAATTCTTGAAGATAATTGTGCCGTTAAAAGTGTAGTTATCTTCAAGAATTCATTTGAATGTCTTCCCGATTGAATGTTTAGCTGAAATTTGGTATGAGTAAACTAGACTTAATGAATAAGATGCTAAAAAAAATATCAAAAAATTCCACCGGGAGTCACCTCAAATGGCACTTCCGGAAATAATCTTCTATATAAGGACTTATTTGACACCGTTTTTACAAGTTCGAGTACCAAACTGACCCTTTACTCGGGAGAAAACATCATCATCAATCCACACGAACAACAACCGAGAAACCCTACATATTGAGGGAGCAGACTGATGGGTAGAGAGAGGCTCTCGTTCAAAAGTTTGATTAATCATTTTACCATCTAAATTTTAGTGAATTTATAAATTTCATACTTTTATAATATAATTTTTAACAAAAAAACATTTTCATATCACTTTCATATTATAAATACTTTTTATAGAGATATAATCGGTCAAAGTCTAGCATTTTATTGAAAAAGTAAAAATATTATATTGAAAAAGTAAAAAATAGGCTAACTAAAATGAAATGAAGGGAGTAATATTTAATGCCGACGATGCAATTTGAATTAAAATTTCATTCAATTTTTTAAAAATTGATGAAAGTGTGCATGAAATGGACGAGTTTGAATTAGATGAATCATGAAAAAAGCATATTTAAAATTTAGAGAGTATTCTATTAAATAAATAAAGTAAAAGTTCTATGAAAAAAACTAAAAAATTCTCTTCAACAAAATCACCCAATTGAATCTATAAATTTGTGTCCGCTTGATTTATTTTCTTATAATCATGGCACAATTAAAGGATTAATAGTAATACTCATAAAAAAGGTGCATCTCCTTTTAAAAGAACTTTAAGTTAAGTGTACTTGTACGCGGGTTGTCTTGGGATGGGTGACTGCCTAATAAATTTCTCAAGGCACGCACTAGTGAGGACAAAGTGTGCAACAAAGGTTCGTATTAGTTTGTGAGGACAGTATGTACTGCCACTAGATTGCATTTAGAAGTAGGGACTTTACACCTTGCGGGATTGGGGTGTTTAAAGTGGTAACAGAGCAACCTTGCGATAATATGTTGATCTGGTAGATATCACACAAACACTTAACATGTAAGAATTCTGGAGCTTGGTTGAGATTGGCTTACGTAAGTGGATGTGATTGTAATATTTGAGATGAGTTTAAAAGGATTACTAATACTAAGATGCATCTCCTTTTATGGAGGTTATCTACTAAGAACTTCAAGTCAAGCGTGCTTGCACGAGAGTTGTCTTGGGATGAGTGACCCCTTGGGGAGTTTCCTAGAGCACACACATATGAGGACAAAGTGCACAATAATAGGCTCATGTTGGTTTGAGAGGATAGTACTATGTCTGGATGGCACTTAGGAGTAACGACTTTATACCCTGCGGGGTTGGGGGTATTTCAACAACTACCAACTCTTATTGATGATCAATGGATTAGTTTAGTGACTCTTTTCAACAAATAAGTAATACTAAGACTCATTTTGCCATGGGAAGAATGATAGGTATGGAAAAGTAATTCCATTGGCTACTTGATATCGAGGTTGCATATCATATAACCGGCTCATTAGATGATCTTACCAATATACTCCCTCCGTCCCCTTTTAAATGTCCCGAAAGAGGGTGTCACGAGTTTTAAGAAAAGTGGGTTTGTGTGGTTGATAGTAATTGATAAAGTAAGAATAAAGTAAGAATGATTTTGAGCCACACAAACTTTAACAAATAAAGTATGAGACAATTAAATAGGGACATCCCAATATATTAAAACAGGACATTTAAAAGAGGACGGAGGGAGTATGTGTTTTGACTCCACAATGTCATGCATTTATGCCAACAATACTACTACTTATGCAATTGAATTTTGGTGTATTTATTTTAGCTTGAGGTTTATGTTAGAAAATGTTTTATTTTTTTCCAAAATTGATGTGTCATCTGATTTCGGTTGCACGTTTGATAGATGATATGAAATGTCATATTGTTTTCAATAATCAATTTTGTATCATGCATGAATGCACTTTAAGGATTCTGATTTGAGTGAGGGCTAAATGATGTGGTAGGGCCTACTTTTCAAAGTGTTGTACCTGAACATGCATATTATGTGGTGTATATTATGTGGAGATTAAAGATTTGTATGCGCTATGGCACAAACGGATTGGTCATCTCTCTACTCGGGCAATGTGGTTGCTTTGTAATCTAAATATTAGTGTTATTTTTGTTGGAAAAAGTGGTAATAAAATGCATTAAATGGCCATTTTGAGGAAATTTTTTGAGTGGGATCCACTTTCAATTTGGGCCGGGTCAAAATGGTTTCGGATCTTCCTTTCTTAGGGCTACAATTCGATATATGGTACGCTCAAAATGGATAATGGGTGAATGAGAAATTGATTCTCGAAGTTCACTCGTTGAAATGGAGAAAACTGGGAAAATGTGGGTTTCAAGTGTGGTTTTTTCCTACACCGGAAAACCCAAGGAAATTTGAAGCCTTTATAAAGGGAAAACCCCTCTAAGGAGTTAAGATTCCTGAAGGGAAAGACTCTCAAATCTTGAAACCGGAGAACAAAAAGCGCGACTTGCGTGCGCGGGCGACCTTCAGACACGAATGTCGTCCGATATCTCCTACAGATAACGTTTGTTCCTATGTTTTGCTCCATTAACTACCCAATGTTCATATGCCTTAATGCAGCTCTCCCAACGTTCATATGCCTTAATGCCGCTTTGGAGAATTTTTTTGGGTTGAATCAATGCCAGCATGCTGGACATTGATGTCCAAGGTTCTAATCCATGCAATTCATCCCTATAAAAAGGCTGGCAGATGCTTTGCAAAAATACACCATTCACAAACGTACTGCACCTT